CGCAAATCTGTCGCATGCCGCGTGCAGAATGGCTCGATGCCTGCGTCTGTGTCGGAGGAGAGCGACATGGACCGGAGCTGCTGCAAGGCCCGAGGAATTGTACTCATTTCAGTAGAGCACTAGATGAAGAAAATGACTTATTGAGACCAAGATTTATCGACACCAGATTGACGAGGCGGATGACCCAAGCACATGGAGAAGTTCCTTTCTCCCGTTTTGCCCTTTTTGGGGTGCGATTGGCAGCGACAGGCGACTCAATGACCATTAGAGCCCTGCTAATGCCCTGCTAATGCCCTGCTAATGCCCTGCTAGAGGCAGCCAAAAGCCCCGCCCCAGCGCGCATCTGCAGCGTGACCACGCCTGAACAGCACCCACAGGCGCCTATTACATCCTCTAATACGGGAGCAGCCGGGCAGAAACCCGCAATACGTAGCCTATGGGGATCGCGTGCCCTCAATCGCAATGAGTCAGCAAATACGCTGCGCTGACTGGCTGGAGTCAGGTTGCATGACGCACTGGACTGCCATCTCGGCTTTTTTTTTGGTTCCTTGTTGGTGCAGCGTGCAGATGAAATCATGGAACCGCTGCACGTCTTGACCTGCAACAACCCCTCCTCCTCTTCCTTCTTCGTCCAGACCTACATGATCTATTACTTTATCAATCAGTCAATCAGCCCACATCTCCATCGTTGCAGCTGCAGGTCAACTCCAACCGGTCTAGCAGCCACTGACGACGCGGTTCCAGGCCCATTGGAAGGGTAGCATACACCCACCATAGCTGCAACATCCCATCTCACCAATCCTGCAGTCGACCAATCGCCTATTCTGAGTCACCCCGAGCCCCTGCCTGAATTTGCCGTGCTCTTTTGCATACCAAAACCCGCTGTAGCCAGTCGTTTTCCTTCCTTCCTGCCCGCCTGCCGGACTTTTGCTTCACGGCTGGCGCCGAGGGTTCGGGGATAAGTTAGAAATGCATCTTTTCCCCCTTGCGTCACAGTTGCCATCGTAGACTGCAGGTCTCTTTTTCTTCTCTTTCCTTTATCTCCTCGCTACTTGCACTCTCTTCCGCCTTCTGCGCTCGTTGACCCATCTCGATTGACATCAAGCCAGAGGTCCGAGAGCGAGGAACAGTCAACGAACCGCATACACACAATGTCTCGACCAACCCACCGACTGGTCCATTCGTCACGCCAAACCTCGTCTGGGTCATTCCACGCCGGCGCGCCGGTGCCTTCGATCGAGTCCTTCCTGAAGCGCAAATCCTCCCAGCGATACCAGACCTTTCCGTCCCAGCCGCCCAAGACGCCCCTCGAGCAGCCACCCATCGCGGATCTCTCTTCTGATTCCGACGGCTCCCCGTCCGACGACGATGATGACGATGATTCCAAGGCGACCCCATTGCCAGTCCGCCAGCTCCTACTCCTAGCATACCTCTCGCTGTCGGAGCAGACGGCGCTCAATTCCATATCCCCATACCTCCCCGAGATGGTCGAGTCGATGCCCGATATCCAAGCGGAGAATAGCGGCCTGTACATTGGCATTCTAGCAAGTTCATTCGCTCTCGCTCAGTTGTCGACCAATTTCCTCTGGGGGTACGCCTCGGATATCGTCGGTCGGAAACCCGTCCTGCTGCTGGGAACCTTTGCCCTGATGCTGTGTTTTGTCGCCTTCGGATTCTGCAAGTCCTACTGGCAACTCATTCTCACACACATCGCCATGGGTATGCTGAATGGAAATGCTGCCTGCGTGCCCACCGTCCTGGGCGAGGTCACGGACCGATCGAACCAGAGCCGGGCCTTCACATACCTCCCTGTCATCTACTCCCTTGGCAGCATCACAGGCCCCGCGCTCGGTGGGCTCCTGGTGGGGAAGATGGGCTCAGAGTACCCGTATCTGGCGCCCAACATTCTCGGAGCTGCCATGCTTGCCAGCAGCTGTATCGTTGTGGCCATCTGGTTCGAGGAGACCCTCGACGAGGAAGACGCTGTTTCCTTTGCGGTCCCCTCCTGGGTTCGTCGAATTGGCTCATGGGCATCGCCCAAGCGGCTATCAGTGGGCGGGAAAGGCGCGCTGTCGAGGAGCAACTCCTGGAGCGCTCGATGGCCGCGCTCCCAGGCATCGCAGCGACCACTTCTGTCTCGATCGCCTTCAGCGGGCAGCGACGGTGACGATTCAGACGATCAGAGCAGTACATCCTCACTGAATAGTGGAACACCATGGAAGGAACTCCTCAATCGGACCACCCTGCTACTTCTTGCTACCTATCTTATCTTCCAACTGTCAAACATCAGCTTCAACAGTCTTTACCCCATCTTCGTGGCCACCTCTCCTCCAGCCGGACGCGATCTGAGTCCCGGAAAGATTGGACTCACTCTCAGCGCTGCCGGTTTCACCACGATCGTGTTCCAAGCCTTCATCTTCCAGCCAGTCAAGGCTAGGCTAGGGAACATGGGAACCTATCGGATCGCGCTCCTCGGTATTGCTGTCAGCATGGTTTTAATGCCCTGGGTCGGCCACGCCGACGACAAGCCGCTCTTTGGTGTGTGGGATGGCAAGGTCTGGCTGTACATCGAGCTGCTGACTGTGCTGGTGGTCAAAAACATCTGCGCTGTCGGCGGTTTATCTAGCGTGATGCTCTTGGTACGTACATTCGCCTCTCGTCACCCCCAAAAGAGGGACGAATGGGGATTCCTCAACGCTTACTCCCTATAACGCGACGCAACATTTCACTGGACAGACTGGCTAACCTTGCAATACCAGATCACCAACTCGGCCCCGTCGCACAACAGTCTCGGCACACTTAACGGCGTTGCTCAGACGCTGTCGGCCCTAGGAAGAAGTATCGGCCCTTTCGTCTCCGGCAGCCTATTCGCCCTCTCCAAGAACATCCACCCAAAGGGAGAGGTGTTATCGTGGACTCTTTTCGGTGGCCTTGCCTTGTGCGGCTGGGTCAGCTCCCTGTTCATTCACTCCGAGGCATTGGAAAGCGACGATTGGACGGGTTCTAGCGAGCATTTGGATCACCGTGATGATGACGATGATGCTGTATGAGCTGCGGATGACGATGATTCGAATGATAACGACAACTTGCGTGTTTTGATTGATATTTTATGAGAGCGCGGTAGAGAGAAGAACATACATATATACACGACATGGCGGTACAAAAACACATCTGCATAAGAGTCTTGGATTTTTTTGGAAATTTTTGCACATGGAGCATTTGGCCAGGCACATGGCACGGGGAGGGCAATCCTGATCAACTGGGAACAATAGAAAATCGGCGTAAAGTGGGAGTAGAAATCAGATTAAATACCATAAAGGAGAGGACTAACTGGCGGAAAGCATATCAACAAACAATAAATTAAATGAATCAATTAAACACAAGAGCGTCGCATCGAGCTCTCCGGCCACGAGGCGTTAATCAGTGCCTTTACAAATGAATGCGCCGGGATCTTATGGACCTTGGTCGTCCTGTCCCGGCAAGTGGGAGGAATAAAACGTGGCACACCAAAGCTCTGTCCGCGTGAGGCAAGAATCTCATTTTCTAACTAAACACAATAATAAGAGAATAATAAGCTATTTCTATGATATTTAGCTGGATATTGTATTCAGTACGAGTTTATTTATCGTGCTATTGTGTTGAAATTTAATGCTGCACTATCTCGATGTGCCATGTTTTATTTCACCCACTTGCCCGGCTAATACTCTCATGTGCTCCCAACATGATGCTCGCTGCAATTCAGCTCGTGGAGCGCTGTGGGGCGGGGGTGAGATGAGCCAACGATCGGATCTCCGCATTGAGCTCGGTTTCCATCGACAGATCTATCAAGATGTATAATAATTGGAGGATGGTTCTGGTATAGTTGAAATTTTAGATAATTCAATTGCCTTTGCGTCTTTGAACGGCTCGGAAACTGCGCAATGATCTTACAGTGATAGTACATGGTTTGCATTGTGTGTCGAGGTCAAGGTTTGGTGAGGAGTGGGATCGATTTTACAAAAGATGATGTCAAACAATAGACTCAAATCACAACAGCCCACAGATCCCATCCATCATTTAGCCATAATTCAGGGACCAATCTTCAACTATCAATCCTCTTTGGTAGTTATTAATTTGGTGTATTCCTTCAGTCTCGCATATATTTATTCACGTTGAAGAGAGGCAGGAATGCTGGTGATCTAGTATAGGGTAAATTCAATTTGAGGCCGAAGTAAGCTCCGTCTCCAATCGGCGCACATCATCACGTTATTCCACAGATTTCAGTCACTGATTTCACTCAAGGCGCGTCGGGAAGTTTACAAAAAAAAGTGTTTCAATTCTAAGACCAGTCCAACTTGTCCAAAGTAGAGAAAGGCATCATAGAATGACTCTAAAATATATATACATCGAATCGAGTGCTATTTATATATGTGAGAGGGAGAGGTGCAGGGACCTGGATCGTCAATCTCCCTGCAGGGGCCTCTTCCCTCCCACCCATCCGGCGCTGGACGCGCACCGCCGTCTACCACCGGAGCGCATTAGCCACCAAATCAACTGAATTATTACTGAACGGAGGGAAACGGGCGATGCCGCAGCAAAGAACACCCCCCGCCCCCTCTTCTTAGCCGCCGGCAGCTTCATTGTGATTTTTCAGTGCAGTTGGCATAATCGCTCATTAAACAGCAAGCCCAGCATCACCTAAACAAGAAACAACTGTTCAGGTGGTAACCAGGCATGCAAAACCGTAAACCGTCCATAGTGTACCAGGGGGAAGTTCTGTTTCCAGGAGCCGAGTTGATCCACAACTCGAGGCCGGGAAAGCCGCTCAACGGGTCGCTCTCGTCGTGTTGGTGAGAGTGCTCTGACATAGTATGGGGGCCGAGGGTTTCATTGATTTGATTCATGTTGCCAGGGCGCCAGGCACTGACCCGACGCCCCTTTGCTTTTGCACGCTGTGTTTCCGTGATGGTCGTATCCAATCAATGAAAGCCCAATTAACTAAAGACGACCCCCATTCGTCGTCACCTGTACGAGTAGTCGCTCGCCCCGTCCGAGTTGGCGCCGGGCTTCTCCTCGGCCGGCGCGACCTTGGGGTTGTTGGCGTCCGTCATGTACGCGGGCAGGGGCTCGCGGGGCTCCCAGGGAGGGGGCGCCGAGGAGACCTGGCCGGGCTGGTTCTGGGGGATGGTGAGGGGCACGACGGGCATGGCGGCGTAGCGGCGGCGCTCCCTCGTGTGCTCCCTCATCTCCTGCCTGTTGGAGATGGACGAGCCCGAGCCCGAGTGGCCCGCGTTGGCCGGGTACGAGTAGTGAGGCGCCGCCGGCCTCTGCTGCGGCAGGTAGGCCTCCTGGTAGTTTTGCTGCTGGTAGTAGGCGTCGGTGCAGTCCCTGTCGCTGAGACAGTGGCGGACGAGCACGCCCATGAAGATGAGCATGAGGATGGAGAAGAGGACGATGCCGGCGACTGCAGGGCCAGTGAGGTGCCAGCTCCCGTTGTAGTGGCAGCTGTAGTACCAGCATCGTGTGGTGAGCATGGGCGTCTGCTCATCGATGTCGTCCCATCCTCTCGTGTAGTATTCGTCGTCGTCGTAGTCGTAGGCATTAGCTGCATGCACACTCGCCGCCAGGGCGAGGATGAGCTTACGGATGGAGGGAGAGTGGTGGCTCATTTTGCTTCGAGGTCACGGCCAAACAAGACATGACGATTGCCAGGACGTGAAATGAGTACGAAGAGAAAAGAAGCAAAAGAGAAAACCAGAGGAAGGCCGGCGAGGGCACGCTGGCCTTATAAACAAGACTCCATTTTTAGAACCGTCCGTGAGATGGCCTTGCTCCTCTGGATGTCGGGTGCACCACCCAGAACAGGGGACTTCCAGCGAGCCATTAGCCTCCGGTCAGCTGGGTCACTGGGCCCACAGCGGGAGTGGCAAGGGCCTGGCAGTGGGCTGTTGGACCTTTTTTGGGGGCGAGCCTGGACTGATCTGCCCCTTGCACTGGGACTAAGTGCTGTAGGGCTAGTCCAGGTCCAGGCTCTCGCTGTAAGAATAGCTGAAGCCCTGTGCGAGGCTGCGAGCCCCATCAGCCAGCACTAATTATGCTTACCGTTAGGTAATTTACAGGGCACGTTGGAGGCCTGAGCTTGAGCCATTCATGGATGTCAGCAGTTTTGAGCACCAGATTAAAGCCGTCTGCACAAGGAATTAAAAAAAGAAGTCCCTCCATGGGGCCTGGTTGCTTGTTTAATTGTCTACCTTACTTGTTCCTATGACCCGAGCTCCCCAGCCGAGGAGAACGCAAGGGAAGAAGAGAGCCATCTTGAAGGGGAATCATGAGAAACACCACTTGAACGCCTATAACATACATACCTTAGGTATATGACATGGAACAAAAGAAAAGAGAAAGAACGCCAACGCACACTGAAAACAAGGCAGCCACCCAGATCAGAGCCCGTCTCGCCACTCGCTCCACCCCGCGACAATCTTGATCACCAGCCCCGGCTTCAATCGGACGTGTCGTGCTTAAAGTATGACGCGCTTGACATAAGACGCAAGGATTATGTACTTTGTTTCAGAGTCGACCGCACAGCCATTGCCCTGTACCTAGCCCGAGTATCGGGTCGGACCACGCTTGGCCGTGGGCTGCTTTGCATCAGACTTGGAGGCCTTTCGCTTTGGCTGCGTGAGCTGTATGCTCCTTGCCGACGATGACGGCGACGGCACATCTATTAGGTGTGGCGTATTCCCCGTACCGATGCTGCCAAGCTCAGATGTGTTGATCATCCTCGGGTCTGCTGCCAGAAGGCCTTGGGGACCAATGTGCGGCGGTATGTCTTGCAGATACGGCGACTCGAAGTCCAGCTGGACGCGACCCGCGACACTGTCCAGGCCCTGCGCGGCGCCGAGGCTATTATCCTCTATGCCCCACGGACTCGCCATCGTGGGGTATTGCTCCAGTACATGTAGTAAGCTGGGGTCCGCCGCCTCGTTGTATTGGAGGCCATTGGCAGCATTGAACATGTCGCTCTGGGTTGCGGAAAAGTCTGTTGTTGTTGCTGCGGCGAAGCCTCCACTGAATGAGCTGCTCCTTTGGCCCAGGAAAGGCTGCTCTTGAGTGGCCATGGATTGCGTGTGAAAGGGCAGGCTGTTACGGGAAGGGCGATATTCTCTTGGCGGCACCGAGAGATATTGCTCGCTGCTGCCCTGTGAATACATCAAGGGTGCCGTCGCTGGAGCCTGATTCCCACAGGGCACCGCGAGCGAGGATGGGCCAGGATCTGAATGGTTCCTTGGTCGTGATTCCTGGACCTGGACCGAGAGAGATCCGGTTGACTTGGCGTACACGTGGTTCGGCACTCGAGAGGGTCGAGCCTCAACCGGGGCCGTGTTCAAGCACAAATCCTGGATCTCTGTGACCATCTCACGCATTCTCTTTGGGGTTGGCTCACCCCCGGCTGCTATCCAGGACTTCAATTTCTCCTCAATCTTCGGGCGATTCCTGTCCCGGCAGGCCTTGGTCATCTCCACAAAGTACGTGTCCAAGAATGGGGAGACATGCTTCTCATCTTCGGGGAACAATCGGCGCCACATCTCCATCCAATTGTCCATGCCGGTCCGCCCTCTGACCCTGGACCTCCCGATGATGGTATCGACTTCCTCTTTATCTAGGTACTTGTGGGTGGATGCCTTGGTGCACCCCGCGGCCATGTGAGCCTCGTACTCTGGGCAGTGTGTCTTCCACTGCTGCATACACGAGTGGCAGTAGTACGAGTCGACCACGTGGTATCGCTTGATGTGTTGCTTGACGTCGCTGTACCGACTCAACTTAAACTTGAGACACTTCTCATACAGGAACGGGTCATGGCGAAAGAAGGGACAGGCGAATTGAGGGCTGTTCGTGTCTGCGCCCTTCCCTTTGCCCTGGCTCCCGTCGCCGCCCTCGCCGTTGCTGCCTTGGCCGGCTCCGTGGCTGCTGTCATCGTCGTCCGGATAGTTGCTTCCGCAGCCCCCGGGCAACCCTCCGGGCAGCTCGCCGGATCCTCCTCCGCACCCATTGCCGTCGTCAGGCAGATAGAAGGGGTCACCCCCAAACGGCGACAATGGGTACTGGTGTGGTGGGGGCTGATCGGAGAGTTTGGAGAAGTCGAGGCGTTGGATGTTGTTCGCTACCGCCTTCTGCACAGCCGGCAGGCTTTTTTCTCTCAATGGGAGGATCGAAGACAGAATGTAAGTTATCGCAAGGGCGAGGTAGTTCTCGAACTGATTCAAGTTGGGCAATGTCTCCTTTGGCTCATTCTTATCGCAAATGGAGGCGGCGCACTCCTCCCCTACCCGCCTCACGACCATGATCGGGAGCTTGTGTTGTCCCTTTGGAACATCATCCCCGGCAGGCTCAAGCGCCAGAGGATCTTCGGTTGCGACCACAAGGGGGACACTGCCGTTCTTGGGATGGATGGTAAGCAGGGATATTTCATCTCGCGGCTCCAGCTTTCTCGCTGGATCTGATAATTGAACAAGTTCGCGGTTGAGGATCTTCACGCGGAACTTGTCACCTGGGCCGCTGTGGAACCTCTTCGCCAGCTTGGAGAGGGAGCTTTTGGCTAGCGCCAGAGGCGATTGTGCGTGAGCCGTCATACGGCGTCCATGTTTTGCCATGGTGGGTGGATGGTTGGCTCCAAGACCTGGTTCAACCCAAGGGTCTATAAGATTCGTTATTAAGGCTGGTGAGATCTTTGGCCTTGACGGAGCATAACCATGTTTTAAGGTTGAAAATAGCCAAGAGCTTGGGTAGCAGGCTTGGAATGAACAGAAGGATAATGGCAAAACGAGGCGAACGATGCCAGGCAAAGCGACGACAGGGCGGAGGTTATGTATGACATCGCCTGACGCGATTTCGTGCACACAGATGTGAGATTCTGGAGCCCAACAACCAACCGGCGGCCACCAGTGTGCGGCCCGTCCGAGCTACCACAATTTTGTGATGGAACATTTGAGGAAACGCGCTCTGCGCAATGGAAGCTGATCTGCAGGATCTCTTGGCTGCCTGGTTCGAGATTCGACCCAGCCCCAGTTAGTTTAATTGATCTAGTGGCCAGCCGTTCCCGAAGGCTGGCGAAATCTCTCTGGGAGTGAGACACTGCTAACCAACCCAGGCGGGCTGTTGATGCACAGCCCGTTCTAGGCTCACCAGCCGGTGTGAATAAGGCTGTGTATGCCAGATGACGAGCACCAAAGTGAGGGTTCTCGTAAGCATAGCCGGCGGTAATGTTGGTAATAATAGGAGAGCAATACGACATCATTAATAATTCTAATACAGGATAACCCGTTTTGTATTGCATCTGAGAGTATAGAACAACTAACACCACCGGCGACAAGCTGCGGCGTAGCAGCAACACGGAACACTTGGTGTGCCAATAATCGAGTCACCCGTGGGCAGGGGTATGCACAGCTTCCTCCGCACCCTGCTCTCAGCCTCTTCCTGCCATCGAGATGTCCTAATAGATCCCGCTATTTGCCACATTGCTTTTGTGCCGCAAGCCTCTTTCAGCTGCGGGGAGGGTGAGGCTGCGTTCCGTTTATGCGCCTGTTATACAAAAGCGGTTTGTCGAGTGCAGCGGCTTGGTGGCTGACCACGTAAATCTGCTGCCGGGGGTTCGGACAATACTGAATTAAGTGACCAGTCATCCGAGAGAGTTGGGATTTATAGTTCAATAGCCTTGCTCTAGGCCGCAAAGAGCTGTATTGTCTCGCTTTGCATTATGTACCCGGAAAACATGGTCTAGAGCATAGTAATCTCATTTTTGGAGGAGTCAGCTTTCTCCAATGGTATAGAACAGGTTATTCCGGACAGGAGGTAGTGATCTAAAAATAAATCAATCTTATAGTCCATAATCTATCTTAAATGCCTCTTTGACGCTAAAATTCCAAAATACAGAAAGAAAACAAAAAGAATCAGGATGTGTGAGTATTACCCAAGGAAAGATCGTCCGTTGCAGCCAGCCTCTTTACAAGGTCCTCTAGACAAATCTTAGAGAGCGCCTTGATATCTTGTAGTTCAAAACCGTCCGAAATCCCCATTCTACCGAGAAACTCCATAACTGTATCATAACCATTTGATACCCAGTAATCCCTGAGTATAGATATATTGCGGCCCAGACCATTGTTCAAGTACGGACTGTTCTCGAGTTTCCTATTTGGAAACACCGTACGCCATATTCGCGCCCACCTCTTCCGTTCCCCCATTTGAATCTTGTCCTTCTTCACCAACATACGTTTTTGGCGATCATTCACACCGTCCACGTCTCCTGTGGACGGAGTACAGGCCCTTTCTCGGACATGAATGTCTCGCGTGGAAGCTCGCTCAAACTCCCGCCTACATATTGGACAATAAGGTGGCTCCGTGTGGTGCTCACTGACGTGCCTTATCACGTCCTCAATCGACTGCAAATCATGCTGGAGGAGACATCCTTGATATCTTGTGGGGTTGGTGATATAGAACGGGCAAGCCAAGTGAAAGTAGCCCTTGATTCGAGATGCGATTGGTTTTCTTTCATCATAAGATGTCTCCCAACTTGCCGTCTTTAATCGCTTTTTTGGAGGAAGCCTGTCATCGGGGGGAGCATTGTAGACAGCCACCTCCAGTTTTCTCCGAATGACATCAAACGCGGACTCCACAATATCCAGCCGTAGCCCATGAAGCTCGTGAGAGGGATCGAGTACATAATCTTCTGAGTCCACTTCTTCAGTATAGTAAAATTGGGAGTGGCAGTGACAGCTACAGTCGCTATCGCTGTCACTATCAGAAAAGACATCGTCCCATCCGTATTCCTCCTGCTCAAAGTTATCATAATGTGCCCGTGATGTATTTTGATCAGTCTCAACTGCAGTGACTGAGTTGGGAGATCTTTTGCGTTTGATGCCCGTAATCCGAAATGATGTATGCTGTAATTGGTGATCCTCCTTCTCGGCGCCGGATAGAACATCCTTTGGCCTGATTGGAACATTATCAATTAGAGCCCCTTTGGGAGAGGGCTTCGTTTGGTTATCGTCGATAATTTCCCAATCCCAATCATAGCTCACTTGGAGTGTCGGATATGATGAAGTGGTGTTGGGAGCGCCCTCTGTAGCGGTATGTGTAAACTCAGCCGGAGACTGTGCAAGAAGTCGGTCGATCGCCTCTTGCTGGCCGTGTGACCAGAAAAGAATAGAGGCATCGAGAGACTTATGAAGAAACGCCTTCTGAAGTCGTAGGAAGGCTTCAGTAGAGCCTTCTCCGTAACGCGTTGGGATGTTGATACCCAGAATTGGCATGAGAGCATAGGCTATATCTTCTGGTTGACTCGTGTCCCTGTTGCTGCCCCAAGATATCCGAAGGCTGGCCGGCGTGTCTAGCATTGTCTCTGGATCTTGGAGAACACGCTTGGGTATTTTCGTGATTCCCGATAGAAGGGGCAGAAGCTCCGTGGAGCCTTTGCTCCCGCGGTGATTCCACTGGGAGTCGAAGATTTCTACTCTCTTGGGCACCACGAACTCGGCTAAGGGCCAAGCTCTGGTCCAGTATCTGCATGATTTCCAAGCATCTCCGTCGATAGATGAACTCAGCACCGGGAGATCATGAAGGTAGACCAGGCAGACTAGTGCGCCTTTCAGCCGCGAGTAGCATTCTGTAACAGCTTGGTCAACGTCAGAGCTGGAAGTGTGGTCGATGCAGATTGAAAACTCCCAGAGGCACGTGGCGCCGTATTTAATGGCAACTTCCGAGGCTGGTTGAATGCTGGAAGAGAAAGAAGTGCCAATAGCATGGGATAGAATGGCAAGATTAAGAGGTTGCTTGGAATCGACCAGCCGCTCGTCGAAGGAATTTGTTGTCACACTATAGACACGCATGTTGTCAAGTAATTTCTGTTGGGGTTTCCATCTGAGAATGAAGACATGTATGGTTATCATAAGAATGTTTTAATGTTGATCTGGAGTGTATCACTTTATAGAAGGAGAATCATCGACCCTTCCCTCAGCCGCACAGCTGTGCCTCATAGGCAACTAGCGGCGTGACACATATCGCCAAATGTAAATATGGGATGGGCTTCACCTTTCCTACACAATTGTGCCAAGTGTTTGATGGCTTTTGCATTTTATTACTGATTATGGTTGCAACTTGCGACTTGGAAAGGAGACCTCGAGCCTGATGATTGCGAACCATCCGTCGGTGTTCTTCCCGAAACACAACGGTTCGGCTCCGTGTGAGCATTAGATAAGGCCTCATTGGACCGGGGGAGTTTTTCACATTTCGGCCCAGTGCCGAGTTCATCTTAAAGGAACGGGAAGGATGAATACAAAATCACCCTATTCGTTGGAAAGGTAGAATCACATTTCCCTTACCGGTTCATTCCTTTCGCTCCTGACATGCACATATAATGCACTATTGCGAATACTGATGCATACGTCTCCGACACTGCAGCTAAAGTATTCCCGGGAGCCCAACACGATATCTGGGAGCCTAAAAGGAACAGCAAATCTCTGCTAACCTCCTGCAAGCCACACACCGCCATTTTGGTGTCCTCATGCTAGTTCCTGGGTCAGGCGCTGGGTGCCTAAATCCATGGCAAGCATCTTCTTTGTGTGTCAAGTTCGTGAATGAACATAGACTACTTAGAATCAGCGTGAACTAGGTTCCAATTCCACGTCAATATACCGGGCTAGAAGTTGATACTGACTCACACCGGTGGGCACCAATCACGCGAGTCTAGCTAGGGCCTCACTCTAGTTAATGTGACTAACATGTAGATATTTATATGCTTACACCTAGAATGATCACGTAAATGGCGAGATAAGAAACAATGGTGAGAGCAAATGAGAGGCCAATGAACGTGCATATGTGCGATAGTAGTATCACGGTGACATTGGCACAACTGCCCCCCGGCTGAGATTTAGACATATTGGCACACAATTGAGGCCTTATTATAGGGTTCGGTAAGTTTCTGTTTGATGTGCAGTAGGAATGCGGGGTGGTATGTACACTTCGTGCTGATGATGCGTCACTAATAAGTCTATCAGCCAGCTAGTAGAGAACACATGCCGAGCCGCTTAAAGAGGTTGATGTGTAATTATCGAGCACGTTCGGTAGTTAATTTCTTCAGGGAAATGGTGAGACTTGTGAGGTTTTGTGTTGATTCAGCCTGGGTGTTGTTGCATTGATGAAACCTGGTCGAGAAAATGTGACTCAGTAGCACGCATGAGTGCAGTTCGTCACTCATACGGGCCAAATCGTGATTTAGTGAGGTATCTATCATTACCCGCCCAAAAGATATTTCCTCAACAGGAGTCATCCGTACACCATCATCCTGGCCATAGAAACCGTCGTTGCCTGGCTGGCAGGCAACTTTCTTGTTCAGTGATCAAAGGCTGTGATTGGCTGGTGCCTATTATCAACACCATAAGCCCCCAACAAAAATATCTATGTATTCTGACATTCAGCCTTATTCAGGCTTTTTGATTCGGGGAAAGCTTAGCCAAACTATGGAAACAACCACGATTAAAGCAAGTATGATTGGCTGAAGGACTTCCACTCCCTTGCTCGAGGCGATGGCACCAATTATAAATGGAAAAACCGTGCCACCTGTCCCACCAAGGGCCATGGCAAAGCCAATCGCACTCACGTGGATATGCTTGGGCAGCAGCTTGGCCGTGACCATGACTGCCCCGGGGAACAGGGGACCGAGGAACATGCCCAGGAAGGCGACCGCGACGACGGATACAATGAAGCGCGGGACCAGCCAGAAGAGTAGCTGCAGCCCGATGCAGATGGCCAGGTAGATGGTCACACATATGCGCTCGCCAAAGCGCTCAGTAACAAAGCCCAAGGAGGCACGCCCAAAAGCCTGACCAGCCCAAAATGCAGTGCTTGAGATACCGGATGCATAAGGAGATGCCTTACGGACACGGAGCATAAACGTCGTGACCCAGCCACCGAGGCCAACTGAAGACAACAACATTAGTATATTTGATCCCCTTACTATAAGATCTTCCGGGGTGTGCGATTAAACTTTTCTTACCTTCGACACCCATGTAGGCAAAAAAGAAGACCGAGCAAAGCCAAGTTACCTTGGATTTCAAGGCAACTCGCGTCCCGGCGCCCTCTGAACCAGTCTCATTTACGTGTTCACTCCGATAGACTGCACCAGTCTTGCGCCAGAAGCTCATGCTCAAGCCGACAAGCTCAATCACAGAGATGCCAACCTATTGGTCAGAGATTAGCCGCGCATAGAGAAGAAAAGACCACGCCTGGAGAAGACCACACCCCTCCAGACTATTGGACGGGCTGCCTACCATGACATAATAATACTCGTACCAGGGCCGTTTCAAGGTCACCACAAATTCAGTGGCAATAAGCGGAGCAAGCAGAGCGCCAATCGAGTAGCAGGAGTGCATGAAACCCTGGATGGTGTTCGCCTTGTCCATGGCGCCCACCCAAGCGCAGAAGCAGGCGTCCGTCAGCCCGTTTCCAAAGCCGCTGATGATGTTGATCACGACCAGCACGGGGTAGGGCGGATGGAGACACAGGGCCACGTAGGTGACGATGTGGCATAAGGGTGCCATGATGGCGACGCCGCGCTGACCCAGTGCCACATGGATCCGGGCATTGGTGAATGCGGCGAGGGCGTAGCCTGCAAAGGGAGTCAAGAAGACGAGAGACACGATGGTGTAGGTCAGATTGTAGTATTGCTCAAGCTGGGCGATGTGAGTAGGCGTTCAACTGAGTAAGCATGGGTCATCTTGAGGAACATACATATGGAATCAAAGCCTTTTGAGTCACAGAGTCAGCAATTGAGGAGCCAGAGGGAAGGGAATGTGCCATCTAGCATCAGTCGTACATACCCCAATTGCTGCATCATTCATCCCTGCGATGATGAATGACAAGAAAGCAAAGCCAAGTCGAGGGACATTTCCCCTCGGCCAGTTCCATCGCTCCACCTCATGCCTCGCATTTATCGGAGGGGGAGACTCATCTTGCAAGGCGGTCTCTGTCTCTCGCACCTCACGAGCCACGGGCGCTGTCTTGGATTCTTGACCGGGGCGATGGCCGAGCTCAATGGCGCCATCACCGATGTCGGTCTCGGTCAACGTCGCCGTCTGGGACATGGCGAAGTCGAGCAATGGTAGACGAAGCGGTTAGCGGAAGTATGAAGAGTGAATATTTTCCCTTCCAAAGCAAGAGAAAGTGCGTCTTCCAAGGATGTAAGAAAAGAGGAACTCCTTTCATTTCTCCATTTGGTAGCTCCGCCGACTTCGCCTGACTCGGCCCTGCTCTTTTCTTGGCTCTACGAGCCTGTGGGGTTTCGATGATTCATAGTGACTGCAATCTCACCGGGCTTACCACTGCCAGGGCTTGTATGTTCACAGCTGGATATTGACCTCCATTGCTTCAGTTACATATGATTTTATTTAATGCTCATCCGTGAATTGGAGCTCTTCCTCTTTGCTACGAATTAATACCTGCGCCTCCTTGGCCCTGTCCAGTTGCTCCACTGTTCTCGCATCCTTGAGAATCTCTGCTCGTCGGGATCACCTGCCTGCTGATGCCGGTGAATGGTGCTCATGAGCCCACCCGCATCAGATGAATTAGGCTGGGGGTGAAGATGTTGAAGACCTTGCAGAAGGGGAATTGAATGAGCGAAAATAGCATACGGTTCATAATGGGAGGTTTATGCTCATATTTTCTCATAGGTAGGCTTCAATCTCAAGCTAGAATACCTAGGATCAAATGAAATTTACACGTATTCTCAATTCAGCCATTATTCTGGCACACTAGAGTCAAATTATCATTGCACTCACAAAATACTAGACACGGATGATCATTAAAGCATAACGGCAACAAGACCAACCCCAGCCCCAAAGGTTAAGAACCAGATGGTGAAAGCGTCCATATTCGAGTATAGAGCATGTGCGGCACTCGAGCCTCCAGTGGGAGAAGCGGAGCTCGAGGTCGTCTCGGACTGAGTGGAAGAGCTCTCCGACGTAGATGATTCTGTATTGGATGTTCCATCCTCTGTTGATGAGGTCTCAGTATCGCTCGATTCGCTTGACTCGCTCGACTCAGAGGACGACGATGCCGTTGCGCGGGTTGTTGGCTCTGGGGAGCTCTCCGAGGAAGTCTCTGTTTCCCTTGGCTGGCTGCTAGTGGAAGATGGGGGTGCTCTGGCAAACGAAGTTTGTCCGGCCAATGTCTCGAGGCTCGTTGCCTCGGCTGGCGTGGAGAGAACTACGGTCTTTGACAGATTGCTAAAATACTCGGAAGCAGCAGCAGCATCTGTCGTCGCGACGACGAATAAGGTGGTCGTGGTTCGCCGACTTGATGTCACAATTGAAGCATCAATCTGCACGGAGACAGTCCAGTAATAGTACCAGTACCAGTAGGTCACTGTCCATGTGTATGTCTGAGTCAGGGTCGTGGTGACGGGCTGGGTGGTCGTGGTCGTGGTGGCATAACGTGTGCTCCCGTTGTCATCGACGTGAGCCGTGCACTTTTCATCGGTGCAGCATACGCGCCCTTGTGTAGGGTTAATATAGCACTTATTCCCTGGCGAGCAGAAACTTTCATCAGAGCAGCATTGGCCGCCGAGTGGATAGCAGTGGCTTGAGCCGCAACAGCCTTCACCGGGATCGCAAGGGCCCTTGGGACAGCAGACGTCGTTGGGTTCGATACAATAGCCTGCCGAGCAGCAGTTTGTGGTTCTTGGGCAGCACCTCCCAAAGCCTATCAATCAATGTTAGAATAAGTGTTCATTTCTTTAACCCTCTTTCTCATTGCGACGAGAAAGCAAAGGACAATAGGGGCTTGACTGACTGGCACAGTACCAGTATCCAGTATTGCAGGACTGGCGTTCTTCGAGAGCATTAAAAAGTGCTTCTTCTCGGGCGTTTAGAAGCGAACGCGCATTGATGCCCTCCAGACCCTCGCTGGACTTTGGCTTCCGCCATTTGGATGGGATGCTGAGCTTCTCTACCACCTCGACTTCGCGTTCGTACACCTCTACGAGACCCTCGAGGCTCCGATCATAGTTGAATCCTATGCTATTGATCAAATTCCCAGCCACGAGATGGCTCATGCTGAGAATTGCCAAGAGGCAGAATGATGATAACATTTTCAGGATCAATTTGACCAACTTACGGCTGATTTGTTACTCCATTCTCGCTCGGGAGCCGACATCCAACTGATTTATATCTCTCTCGGCCGCATTTTACATGACGTCTAGAGGCCATTGATTGCAGATACGATCAATACGATGGCAAGTCTGCCTACATGATAAGAAGCACTAGCTTGTTGGCAGCTTTCTCGCCCTCACTTATCATAGGCCCCGACCCTGGTCGTTGCCAACAATATCAAAATGCACATCTCGATCAGCGACGCAAGCCAGTCTAGTCCACAGGGCTGAGTCTGGTCTTGGCATGCACGTGGTGCTTTTCACGTCCTGCATGTGGGAGCGCCGCATATTGTCCCAGTCTCCCGTGTGGTTGAACAATAAGCCACTGTCACCCAAATCTCGGTTGCGGCGCCGCCCAGTTGCTGGTTTCATACGCACCAGGCATGGGCGAGCCGCAAGGAACAACACTACAATATTCAGCTCGGGTCTACACAAGCCAAAATGGGCAAGATGGGGAAGAAAGGTGTGGCACACTGACGCCCTGGTTGGGTTCAGGCCCCACGCTCGCCTTGCTGTGTGAGCGAAGTGAGGGGTCGAGAGGAATACACGATGCTGCATATTGCCGAGACTCAACCTATTGATCATTCTCTGTGCACCTCTCCTTGAAAGAGTGGAGATGTGCCTCGTCTGGCTACATGATATAAGCGAGAGATGGAGGGAGCGTTGTACCCTCAAGTATACTAAGATGAAGGCGTATGGGAGTGGCGTAGCATATTGAGCTCAAGCTATATGCTCAGGCAATGACTGTAGCAGATGCATTTTCAGGTCAGCTCTACAAGCTCCGGATTTAAGCAAGAGTGGTCCAAAACCCGGACTTTCCCCTCATTGGATTCCCAGGTTTATCGGCTGAGAAACAGGCTGCCTCCCCTGCTGGTGGAATCACAATTGGCAAAGATGTCAGAGTCGTATGCCGCTAAACAGTCACTCTTTTGCACACCATCTTGCCTACGAAGGGTGGTAAGTGAATTAGCCTTGCAGGCCTGATATCAAATACTGACCATTTGCGAACCAATACTTTACACTTCGTAGGGAATGCTTGGGATTTATTGGGGTTTGGGTTGGGTCGCATTCGCGATCACCATATGTCATATGTGTGATTCGAATCTTCATTAATATCAATGCTAGCTTCTTCCAGAGAGAGCGCTACCGCGCAACCAACTGTGTATCTCCAATCGATCTACAGCGTCTAGTAAATGTACCTGAAGCCTTCCGACCTTGCATCGGCAGTTCCTTGCTGGCCTGTCTCTCCCGCCGCACGTTGCTCGTCTTCTGCCCTCTCGAGCTTCTTGTTCTCCCATATGTGCACATACCGCAGTGTTATTGCCAAAGCGGCGACGACCATGCAGATCACGGTGTTGGTAGTCCCGCCGGGGATGTACTGGGGGCCCGTCGATGCGGGATACATGTAGGAGCCGTAGATGGTCGCCGTGTTCCCTATCATGTTGGAGATGGCGATGCATGCCGAGCGCTTGACGAGAGGTCGAGGGAAGGAGTTGGCAACCCACGAAACAATGATCTGGTCTGTCGTGAGAATGAAAATTAGTGATTAGTGAAATATGACGGTATGGTCGACCTCGTCTCGAGTGCTCCGCGACTTACACGAGGATACGGATCCCATTGGCATGAGGAACATGGCAAAGTAGCGTGCGCCTTTGACGGAGGTGGCCGTCGCGATTGCGTTTCCAATTGCAGCCACTGTCATGAGGACGGCGATGTGAATCGAACGATCCCTTGTTTTGGCCGAGCTCAGGGTGACGCAAATAGATAAGAGAAACGTAGCAAACTGCATCAAAAGCATGTTCAGCTAATGGATCAAGAAGTTATGCGAAAGAGATGGGCAGCTGGGACTCAGGAACTCACCCAGCAAGGCGCCGTCAGCCACAGCGTCGTTATTCTCCCGTAGCCCAAGGTCCCAACGATGGTTGGGAAGAAGTACTGGAAGCTCTGCGAGATGAGACTGATGTGCTGCATGAGCACGAAGACGTACAGGCGGTAGTCGGTGAAGGCGAGTTTGACGCCTGTCCACATGGATGCGTTCTTGTACATGTCCACCTCGTTGATGTCTTCCAGGAGTCGCCACGAGGCAAATGCCTGCTCCTCCGTCGTGAGCCAGGTGGTCGTGTGCGGGTAGTTGGGTAGAAGAAGGGCAGAGAGCATGGCGAAGGCGATGGCAATAACTCCTTCCTGTTCACAGTGTCAGGCCCGTTAGAAAGGGGGGGATATCGTCAGTTCGCTTGACGTTGAACGCCAAAGCAATACCAGTCAACTCATTTCACTTACAATGATAAACAACCACCTCCATCCCGCGAGGCCCAGCGAACCCTCAAGGCTGCCCAGGATAGCCGCCCCGAGCAGTCCGCCAAACATGTTCGCCAGCGCATTCCCCGCGTACAACCAAGCGATGCGGCGCGTCAATTCGGCACGGGTATACCAGGAACTCATGAGGAACACAGCCCCTGGGAAGAACGGCGCCTCGACGAATCCAAGAAAGAAGCGGACAACGATCAGATGGCTGAACTTGTGCGTCGCGGCGTTGCAGGTGGACACCACCCCCCAGAGGCAGCACGACGTCGCCAGATACAGCGACGGCCGGGCCCGCGTAAGTACGAGGTTCGAGGGGAGCTGCATGAGCAGGTAGCCCACGAAGAAAATGCTCGTCGCCAAGTTGAAGTCGGTCCCGGACATGCCCAGGTCGGCCTCGAGCGATCCCTGGCGGGCTTGGGCCAGGTTAGAGCGGTCGAGGAAGTTGAGGAGGTACATGATGACCAGCGTGGGCATGAGGCGCATGTCGACCTTGCGCAGGAGCTTTCGCTCGTAGATGTTGCGCCACTCATCTCCCCTGCTGGTGAACTGCTCGGCCCAGTCCTGGGGGTTGGGTTCGGTCGAGAGAGAGGATTTGGGGACATTATCCCCGGCTATCTCCTTCTCTTCGACGTTTTCTTTTATTGTGGCCATTTCAGCAGCACGATACGAGCAGTAGAGGGATGATTGGGCGGGCAAGGATACAGGTGAGGTGGCTTTGAAATAGCCGTGTTTCTAGTGAGCCCCTCAAGTATCAAGCCTACATTACATATCCGCGAGAGAATTCCAAGTTGTCTTGGAGGCGGGAGGGGCCTTTTTAGAGGAAAGGATCAGTCAACGGAAAAGCCAGCGTCGTATTCATCGGCACTGGATAAACCGACTTGGTCGCCCCGTCTGGCGGTCAACCATGCCCACGGTGTCACCCGACCGTCACAACGTGTCGTCCGAAACACATCTATGATGACTCAAAGCCCAATGGGACATCTGGATTGATGCGGAGTGGTGGAATACCCTGGCCTTGCAGGTGGAAGGGAAGCCGGGTGCAACATACGCGATCCAATGGGCAGGGTGTGGGCGTGGAGAGAAACCGATTCTAATCCGGCCCAAGGGAATGAATACCAGGGAAACAACAACTCTCATATTGTTTTCCGGATAAAGATAACATTATGACAAGGGTCGATACACGCTCTCCTCTCTAAGTCTGGATGAAGGTCAAGTGTTCCATTCTGTCGAGTTAGCGGAGTCCTTCCTTTGGGGAAAGGATCGCTCTGCGGGGTGAGAGTCTTATCACGAACTCTCATGCGGGGAGTAATTCATGTAAGCTTATTGATTGGCCTGGGAAGGACAGTGACCAGACACCACCCGTCATTCCCTTGTCTCGGCGGGATTTCGTGATCAAAAGGTCAGTTCGCGAATGACATGTTGTCAATTAGTCGGCTATATGAGGACACATAGCTTCAGAATACACTGCGAGCCGGACACCAACAGAGCTATCTACTGTATATGTCTCTTACACGCGAAGAATCTCAGCAGCACGTCGAATGCCGTTCGCTGTCTTCGAGACCCATGCCTTGGCATCATCGAGCCTGTCATACTGCACCCCCTCGGTAATGCCAGGGAACGTCACTGCCGCATATCCTAGTCCTGTTAGCACAAGGTCACACCAGAGCCGCGTGGTAACGACGTACCAGTGTCAAGTCCCGGGGCGTTGACAACGTGTCTGAAAAACTCCCGGTCGGGCAGTCCACCCTGTGAGACGAAGCCACGCTGGAAGTTACGGTATTTGCTGTTGGCGAGCTGGATCTGGGCATCATCGTTCAGCCCGAGAGCAGAGATTTCTAGCTTCTTCACCTCTTCTGCGCGGAGAGCGAATTCTTCAATGGCGTCTGACAAGTCAGTCAAATCAATTGTCGCGCCGTACTGGTCGATGACATCGATCAGGTCGTCTCGGTAGGCTCGCAGTTCTACGGCGTAGTTCTGGACATCGATGGGCAACACCTGGTCATCAAGAAGGTGGAAGGCCAGAAGTGTGAGATATTGCCCAACCGCTGCGTGTTGGTGAAAGCCGGGATCGCCAAACGTGGACATCCAGTGGTAGGAGTCGTAGTTGCTGTGGTAATGCCATATGGGATCATTTGGACCACCGCCTGATCCTACATCCAGCTGTGGAGACAAGTTAATAAAGCTCATCTCTGAGAGTTGCTTCCGTATAGATCCGGAACTGACTTACAGAACTGATGCCGTAGTGCAAGAATGAGGTGTAGTCGCTGCCACTCCCCAGTACTCCGACAATACCTTCATAATCGCGTACCCAAGAATCGTACAAGGTCTCATTGTACGCACCCTTGTTGGGGAAAATAACCTTCTTGAAAAGCTCACCGCCAATCTGGTGCAGTTCCGGAGTGGCAGAGAGGTCAACATGGGGACCAGAGACTCCAACATCGATGTTGAGATATGCGACGGCCGTCTCGGTCAACCAGTTGGCATTATCCTCCACCCACTCGGTCGATCCAATCAATCCATACTCTTCGGCATCCCATGATGCTACGACACTACTCGATGATTAGCCACGCGCCTCCAGCACAACGACATCGGGGGACATACAGGTTTCGCTTTGGCTTCCACCCAGAATCGACAAGCTTCTTCACAGCCTTGGTGAGCTCGACGACAATCGCAGAGCCAGAGTTCGGGTCGCCATTACCCCCAATCATCCACGTGTCGCGATGATTACCAAGAACAACAGTATCATCAGGGTCAGTCCCGTTGATGTACCCGATGACATTCCATATGGGGGTGATCTTCTCCTCCATCTCATTCGTAATCGTGAGTGTCACTCCAGGTGCTGGGCCTGTCGAGTAGTCCACATCGAGGCCGCCTACCCAGCGGGTGCGGTTGACTTCAGCGGCAGTGCTTCCATGCCCATTGAGAGCTTTCAGCAAAGGCTGTGCAGACGCGAATGAGAGTGGCAGGCTCGGGATGCCGGGGACAACATCCTCGTGACTCGCTCGCGGCACCCCCTCGTGCGACGCATATCCAGGTGTAGTAGGATCACCAGGCCGAGACGAGAGGAAGAGCGTAGACCCTTTCTGCACGGAATCAGGGTGTCTCGCAGGTCCATCTATGGAGAAATCTCCTGTCAGGTATCGAAACTCAAGACTGATTCTTGGGAAGGCAGGGCGCTACATACTAGGATAGTGATCATAGCCATTGGCAGCAGTGATATTGCCGTCGTCGCCCGGGTCGCTGTAGATGATGGCTCCCACAGCCCCAAACTGCTCGGCATTCTTCACCTTGAGACCGCGGAAGGGGCCTCCATAGCGCATGATGGCGATCTTGCCCTTGATATCAACGCCCAGCTCGTCCAATCGCTGAAAGTCCAGCAAGGTGCCTCGCCTATCCGCGCGCCGGGTCAGTTCACATCTCTGTAATTCTTTCAATAGGAAATACGCCTCACCCAGCGTATATGAACTCTCCAGTACCAGTTCCATTGCCAGAAAACCCGTGGAACGTGGGCTGGTTGTCTGGACGTCCCGTCACATCGTCCTCTTCCAATACGGGCTCAGCAAGGTTAACAGGCCCCGAAGTCCCATTCGCCCAAGTGACTGATAGCTCTTGCTTGAGAGGGTACGTAAGAAACACCTGGTATTCATCCAGGCGTGTCTCGAACCCATTCTCTCTAAAGCGATCTGCCGTCCACTGCGCCGCCTCATACCCCAGGCCGGCGAGCTTATTCTGATGCCCGTAGTAATTGGACCACTGATCCAAAGTCACGTTATCAAAGGAGTTCACCAAGATCGTCTCATGCTCAGTCAGAACCGGGGGCCAATCCGTGGCTCTCGTAGATATGGGTTTCCTATGCGTGTGCCGAGTCTCGGCCAGGAAGTCTCGTGCACAGGCAGAAGCGCCTGATGTAAAAGTCAATACGGATGTCAATACAGAAATCATGGTGATCTGCTATTGCGAGAATGATATTCCCCCCTTCAGCTAGATGTTCCCTCAAAGAGCTGATTGTGGTTGCTCTGGCCGAAAGCTGAGGGGGGTGGGCGGAGGTTTAACACTGGAGCCATCGCCGTCATTGGGCGATGGCGAAATTCCCAGCTATCGGATTCTCATCGCTTGGCTTCGTCATCCGGCGAGCGATTACAGGAATGAGTTGCATCGAGACGTTGCACGGCATCATCTGGACCCCGCTCGAGTGGCTCGCCAGCGTGTTGATCACCCCATGATTATCAACAAAGGTATCGCTCTAGTCCTTTTTTTGTGGTAAGCGTATTCAGCGGATCCTTGGTGGTCATAATCAGGAGGATTCCAAGTCGAAAAGCCGGAACGGCTATGATAATGCCAGGCTTCCATGGCTGGGTGCTGCAGGCAATGATACCCGGTCTACGCACTGTCACTTCACTGCATCCATTGGTTAGGATTGGGCATACCCAAGTCAGTGCGCATAATGTAGAGAGCGAGACAGATAAGTCGCAAACGTCATTTACGATGCAGTCACTGCAAATACGCGGGTGGGCAAAGGATCGTCATTTAGCCAAGGCTATATGGATGTCTCTAAGACAACAGCTATTGCCAAGATTTGACGATAACTCTTCCACCCTCTAGCTACGCTCTTCTAGATGCCAAGGGATAGGACACAAAAATATATCAATAGATCAACGGGGAAGGTCGTTCTGTGCTTTGACAATGGGACAAACGTTCTGTATCCTGTGTTGTCTTCATACTCTCATCACTCATCCAGTGCGATGTTCTATATGCACAAGTCCCACAGCAATCACTTCATCTTTTGGCGCACGTGGAATGGGACGAACGTTAACAGTCGTATAGGAGCTGGATGGTAACAATATCGCATATGTATGTATTCTGTACTACCTGTGTAGCAATAACTTCGAATTGAACTCACGGCAGGCCAAGGGTATTTGATAATGCGGGCTAAAACTTTCTCTAAGAGTCTATACCGTCTCAATGTAGCGTTTCATTTCCCTGCAGAATCGTCAGTCAGGCTTCTCCAAAGCTATCCCTAATGAACAAGGGAAAGAAGGGAACTTACCAATCGGTTACAGCCTCGTCAAATAACCTGACTTCGTTCTCACGTGTCCCTCCAAAATGGTCTACGAACTCATCTCCAAATACCTCGCGGGCAATGCTATCCTTTCTCATGAACCTCTGCGTCGCGTCCTTCAGGCTCTTGGCCAATCGCTGGCCCTGGTCTCCGGTGCCACCAATGCTTTGGTCTGCGGCTAGGGGCGGGCAAGGGATGGCAAGCTTGCGCTCTACGCCTCTCCAACCAAGTCCAAGGATGGCGGCGAGCACGAAGTGGGGGTTGGTGTCGGCGCCGGGAACTCGGATTTCGAATCGGGTGGCAGAGGCCTTGGACGTGGGAGGCGCGATAAGGCGGATAGATGCTGCGCGATGCTCGAGTCCCCATGAAACAGTGACGGGAGCCCAGAAATTCTCGACCAGTCGTTTGTAGGAGTTGATCGTGGGCGCAAGGATGGGCATGATGTCAGGCAAGCCTTCAAGGATACCAGCAAGGAAATGGCGCCCCAAGTCGGAGAGCCCAGCAATGTCCTTCCATTGAGGGTTCTCCTCAGGCGTCTCCCTTGCCAGTAGATTCTTGCCCGAGCTGTCGACGAGGGAGACGTGCATGTGGC